CATGTCTAATAAATATTCATACTATTAATCATAATGAAAATTATGTTTCCAACAAAATATCTTTTCATTCAAGTCACTTTTATAAAGTCATTTATAAGTCACTTATAATTCATTAAATACTAGTGTTTTGAATAGTAAATAAGTTTACTAATATTATAAAACACTAATTTTGGGATTTTAAAAATTATGGGCGTCTCTGCTATATAGTATAATGATGTTATTAATATTACATAAGAATTTTCAAACTCAAACAAACTACTCACTCAAATATGCTAACCATTGCATCGAAACCACTTCTATTGACTATATTACCAAGCTTAAAAAATATTTTGCTGAACCAAATAGGCGACATGGCTATCATGCCTATAATGGAGAATCTGGATGAGATCTCGTCTAAGAATTTGTCAAAGATCTTTCTTCGGGGCTCATTGTAATCCAATCGGTGGCCAAACACCAGGTGACTGATATTGTTGGACATACTCGGCACAAGTACTTCGTGGATATCCATTGGCTCACCATTAGTCTCATCGATACATTTCGTGAGATAACTGATTTCATCGATAATCCTCTCCTCCATAGAGCCCTTCCCGAAGCCTAAGTCTCGGAGCACTTGTAGGGCAGACCTCCGTTGATCTCTCCATACGTCCCCATTTTCATCGACTAAACCTATTTATTATTTATTTATAGTTAACTTGTTTATAAACTTAAATCAATTACAGAATTAATAATTACTTTTAGCTTCAGTGGTCACAGTAAACGCCGAGTGAAGTGGTTTGCCTAAGAAGGCATCCTTATTGAAGGCATCCCTCACAGCTTCCCAATCGTTAAGAACCACCACATTATTCACTCCTAATTGTAACCTGTATCAAAATATCATTTATAATTAATTTAATTCTAACCTTAAACATAGCTAAAATTAATTATAGAATATGTAGTTTATATCAATATAAATTTTTAGTTAAATGTTAAGTCTATAATAACAATGGACTTAAGTAAATTTATCTGTTTAAATTACCTACTGCATATAAAATAGTACTGTTACAAATAACCTTCATAATTTAGAACAGTCAATTGCAAAGGGGGAAAGGAATTTTTGGGGTGATTCAGATTAGCACGTACTCTTAGAAGAGAGAGGGAGGGAGAGGAAGTTGTGGAGATTGACTGTATATAGAAGTATATGACTGTATATGGAAGTAGTGGCTGTATATAGATGGTCCCTAATGTAAACGAAACATGCTAACAATTTGGGATATATTCGTCGCAGTGTCAATTAAATATGAGATTATACTGAAAACTATCCTGATAATATGTATAAAATTATAGAAATAGTCACCCATGCTTATACTCAGTTTTGGGTCAGTTATGGTCAAAGTAACCAAAACTCAAGCAATCAGTAATGTTTTACATTACATTTTGTTTATGTATATAATTTAATTGATAGAATTTTATT